TCAAAGAAAATTACCGAAAAATTTTATCAAATTAATAGTTTCTTATATTTTATTAATTGAATCATTAAAAAATTTAAAGCTTTTAGAGAAAATTGAGTTTTATTGATTTTTATGATTTATCTTCTATTTTATATGAATTTGATTGGTTTTTAATTCAATAAAAGTGATTGAAAAGGAACTAAAACTAATCAAATTTAATCGATGAATAAAAAAAATAATAAAGTTGTAGCATCATAAATATGCGATAGTTAAAAACCGTTACTTTATTGCTAATATTGTATAATTATTAGCAAAGATCGAACGTTTACGAGCGACGAAATGATGGGAAAACGTTGCTAATCTACAAGGATTCAACGCGTTTTCGCAGGAAGTATCGATTTCGAGATATGCATATTAAATACGTTAAGTGTCTGTTCGGAAAGGATCCCATAGGAAATCGAGCTTCCTGCGAAGCAATGAATTACCATCTGCTGCATCCGATGAAGCCGTGAACGTAGTCATCATCATCATCAAAAGAGCGTATCATCAAGGAATGAAGCAAAAAGAACGTATTAAGATCAAAGAAAAATGAAGGAGATGCTTTTCCTCCCATACGTTTCGTAAAACCCGATTACCCACTTACTGAGATGACGTTTTTCATCGATCCAAGAGGCTGCGGAGATTCAATGAATAATATGTAATCTAGATCTCGTCGCAATTGAAAATTACTAACCCATTGAACCAAATTCTTCTCTTTCTCTCGCTCCAACGGGTTTTTCGTTTGACCGTTAGAAAAATACATCTTTCTTCTTGTTAATCTATTTTTTTTATTACATATTTACTACATAATAAAATATCAAAGAAAACAAAGTGATTATAAAAGAGTTTTGTTAATTACATTTTTTTTGTTGAATATCTTAAGTATTTTTTAACAAGAAAAATTGCTGTAATTTTTTTGTATTTCTATTTGTTATTGTATTTTTATCATATTTTTATACATAATAACATATCAATATATAAAAGAAATAGAGTGATTATAAAAGATTTTACTAATTAAAAATGTTGTTCAAAATTTTTGAAAAATTAAAGTATTATAGCTTTTTTTTATATTTCTTTATGATCTTCTATATATAAACACATTTTGTTACATAATAATGAATAAAAATACAAAAGAAACAGTTTGATTATAATATATTTTTGTTAATTAATTTGTTTGATGAAAATGTTCACGATTTTTTTAACAAGAAAAATTGCTGTTTTTTTTTGTATTTCTATTTGTTATTGTATTTTTATCATATTTTTGTACATAATAACATATCAATATATAAAAGAAATATAGTTATTATAAAAGATTTTACTAATTGAAAATTTTGTACAAAACAAAAATTATTTATTGAAAAATTAAAGTATTATAGCTTTTTTTGATATTTCTTTATGTTCTTCTACATATAAACACATTTAGTTACATAATAATGAATAAAAATACAAAAAAACAGTTTTATTATAATAATTAAAATTTTTGATGAAAATCTTCAAAATTTTTTGAACAAGAAAAATTGCTGTAATTTTTTTAATTTTTATATGTTATTCTATCATCATATTTTTATACATAATAACATATAGAAAAAATAGAGTAATTATAAAAGATTTTGTTAATTGTAAATTTTGTTAAAATCTATAAGAAACTTTAGAATAAGAAAAAAGTTTTTGGTACTAAATTTTGTTACACTAATTGTTTTAAACAAATGTTATAATTGTCTTTGTTAATTCAAGATTTTGTTGAATTGCATAAGCAACTTAAAAAAAAGATGTAAAGATCTTTTAGTTCTTCATTTTTTTAACAATTTTTTTAATTTTTTTTTTATAAAAATATAAAAGGTAATTTTAATACATTTTGTTAATTGAAAATTTTGTTAAATTGAAGAAAAAAAAAGTTGTGTAACTTTTTGATACTAAATTTTGTTACATTATAATTGAAAAAAAATGTAATTTTTTACTATTTCTTGAAAATTTTATGTTTTTTTTGATATTTCTTTTAGTTATTCAATTTTTTGGTTACATATTAATATAAGAAAAAGTAAAGGGAAAAAAAACTAGATTTGGTTTTGACTTTGAAATGTAGAGTAATTTCTATTATTGTTAATTATTGAATTGATTGTGTTAATTACGTAATTTGCGCACAACGGAGAAAGGCATTTATTAGTACAAATTGATCGAATTAACGTACATCCGCTTTTCTCAAGAAAATTACAAATCTCTTCACTCACCTTCGAAAACTTTCCTGGCTTCCTCCATACTAGTCGGCAACTTAATGCTCATCTCTCTACCATCAAAGAACCTCGTGATCCTCTCCAAAACACCTTCACCATCAGCTCTTGCGACTCCAGTACCATCAGCAACCCTCCTCAACCTCACGAATTCCCCCAAAACCTTCAAATCCGCTTCAGAATCAACCCCATCGACAGACTTAATGAAAGTCTTCTCTGCACATTTCACGTCTTCACCGCATTCCTTCAGGATATCATCCAGAAGATTAGCGGAGACCACAGCGGTCATCAAGCAGAAGAACACAGCTGTTTTGGCGAACATTTTCGGTTTTGGAATGATTGCTAGTTGAATGCGACCAAGGGTTTTTATTGATTGATTTCTTTGAATCTTCCCCTCCGGATTTTTTTTTTCGTATAGAGGCACGGATAGAGGAAAGAGCATTCCGGGCCGAAATTAAGATATTCCATTCAGAATCAGTGTCAATTGGATTCAGACGGGAAAACAATAAGGATTCGCACACGGAATTCATAAATAAAACGGAATCATTACAATTTTCACTTTGATGCGTTACAATTTTTTTAAATTTTGTACCAATTTTCCACTTTTTCATTTTAAAACCATTACTTTTACTTTAATGGGTAATTATTTTTAACTGACTTTTACTTACCTGTTAATTATCTATTTGTATGTGCTTTGTGTATAAACAACAATCACGTTTCGTCTCTTACGTAAGACGACCTTTCTCACATCTTAATCCCAGTATAAACAATAGTCAAATAATATTAATTACCATCATTTTGTAATGAAATTATAGTGAAATTAATCTCTAATATTTTGATTATGATAAACATAAAATTTGTATTTTTTTTAAAACATTAAAGTCAATAAGAACAAAAAAAATTATACAAATCTTACGTAATAATAATCAAAAGAAAAAAGTTAAGAACAAATTAAATGTAATTCTGTAACCGTCGTCTAAATGCCCTCACGCTTGGAATTTCATCGATAACGAAACACGAATCCGATTTGAATTCTAATTCTAAAGACGGAAAAAGTTTACCTAATTAAAGGTAATCAAACTCAACAATGATTTACAATTAAAAACTTTAAAGTTTCTTTTTTTTTGTTATTTCATAAAATTTCAGTACTTTTTAATCGATATTAATATGTATTTATAATTCCATGCTTATTATTTAGTAAGATTTATCGATTTATCTAATTACTTTTGCATTTTGCAAATTTTTATTTTTTTTTAAATATCGATATTTTTAAATTAACTCAAAAATTATATTTTTAAAACTGTTTATAATAGAATCACAAAGAGTCTTAAAATGCGCGTATTTTGGTATAATTTTTGTTACGAAATATTAATAAATGATCAAGTTATGACGATTTTTCGATTGGTTTTTAAGATTTTTAATTTCTTCATTTTATTAATCGAATAATTTTAATTACTCAATAACAGCGCACGCTAATTTGTTCGTTCAATATGCAAATTAAAGCGAAAACTATAGTCTTTCCAATGAGCCATCTGCTATATATGTAGTACTTACCACTTTTTAGTAATAAAATTTCAAAATGTTGAGAAAAAAATATCTTATGAAAAAAAAACATAAGTACATATTTGGTTGCATACATTATGATATAATAATTTTTAAGTGATATTAATTGCTGTTAAGTCAATGTAATTAAGCAATAATAATTATTATTTGTCTAAAATTTTTGTCCAAAAAAATGAATTTTTCTTTGAATAATTGTGTGATACCAATTAATAAATTTTGACTTGTAATTAAAGTTATTAAAGTATTATTTACAATATATATAAAAATGTTAAAATTTGTATAAAAAGGTGTAAATTATTAGATTTTTGACTTGTAATTAAAGTTATTAAAGAATTTATACAAAAATGTTAAAATTTAAATAAAAAAGGGTTAATTAATAGATTTTGACTTGTAATTAAAGTTTTTAAAGTATTATTAACAATTTATATAAATGTGTAAATGTAGAATTTGTATCAAAAACTGAATAAAACTATGAGATTTTTTTCTTAAAAAATTGAATAATTTATTACGATTGATTTAAATATTACACGTATGGATGGATTGTTCTTATTTCTAATTTAAATAAGATAAATAAATAAATAATATCTAAGGTTTCTAAACGAAGCGGACGGAGACATCTGGTGAGTAAACTGTGAGCTTCCTTAGTTCTGCTTCTTCACGGAAGCGGAATACGCCATCTTTTGGGCTTCCTCGGCAACATCGATGGATCTAGCGTAGGAACCTCCAGCTCCTGCAGCAGCCGCTCCACCACCCAACGAATTCGTCGTCCAGGTGGAAGGATTGTACGAACCACTTCCGTATCCGGTGCTGAATCCGTGGGCGCCACCTCCGTATCCGCCGCTGCTAACCGCCCCACCATAACCATTAGAATTTCCTGTAATTCCACTAAAGATTGTCGAACCCTGCAAAACACAAAAACCATAAATTAATCAAAAAAAAATATTAACAATAAATTAATTATAAGATGAAATCAATGAAACTGGATGATTTGTTTTTTTGATGATTTTTTTCGAATTATACCTAAGTTTTTTTTTGTTAATAAATTAACCATGCAATATAAATTTATTTGTGATTGGGCTCGTCCAGTGTATATTGATTTCTGGGAATTTTGGGAATGTAAACCCCTGCAACCAATTCTGCAAGTTGTAATTTTTTTTTAGATTTTTCTTGATTTGTTTTTACCTTGTTTCCTAAGTATTGGAAGAAGACGATTCCGGAGAGGACGAGGGCGATTTTGGCTACGATCAAGGCTTTGGTTGTGAGAAGTGCGAGTCCTCCCATGATTACTGGTACAATTGCGATCATTTTGGCTCCAATTGCGAGGACGTAAGATGGGATCATGCTACCCTTCTTCTTCTTGCGACCTGAAAAAAACAATATTATTTTTCAATAAAAAAAAAACAAACAAAAATTTCAATATCAAAACTTCATAATTTCAAAATTTCATAGAATTTATAAACTTTTACTTTGGAAAAATTCAATACATTTTCAAAATTTGAAGATTTCTTCTTAATATATTTAACTGAAGAAGTAAAAATATAAAAGCGTAATTTCATAGAATTAATAAACTGTTTTAATTACTTTTATCTTAGAAAAAAATCTATGCATTTTCTGAAATTTTGTTTTGAATAAATACATTTCACAGAAGAAATGAAAAGTTGTAAAAAAATGGTCACAAATATAAATTTTGTGAAAACATTTATACGTTACTCAAAACTAATTAGAATCTTTGAAATTAAGATATAATAACACAAAATGTATAAGGAATTATAGAATATTAAAAAAAAATATAGAAGAATTCAAAAAAGTTTGAAGAAATATTGATTAATTTAAAATCTTTAACTGAAGAAATGAAAAGTTTGAAAACTAATTAGAATCAATTCAAATTTGAAATAAAATATGACAAAATATTTCAGGAATTATAAGATTTAAAGAAAATAAACAGAAGAATTCAAAAAAGTTTGAAAAAATATTGATTAATTTAAAATCTTTAACAGAAATTGTTGACAAATAAAAAAAAAATATTAAAAGCATTTATGTGTTACTCAAAACTAATTAGAATCATTCAAACTCGAGATAAAAATGACAAAATATTTCAGGAATTATAAGAAAATAAACAGAAGAATTCAAAAAGTGTAAAAATTGAATCATTGTTTAGAATTTTTGAAATAAACTCAAAGTTTTATGTTTGAAAATAATTTTATAGAAATATTTAGAAAGTCTTATGTTATTATGATGAAGATGATCCAATGATGAACTCACCTGGGAGGAAGTCCAAAGAACCACCTGAAATTCAAGTTTGAAACGTTTGAGACTTTTGTGATTAACAAACAAAAAAAAAAGAAATAGAAAAAGTGAAGATTAAAGGGGTTTTACAAAATTAGAAAGTTTGATCATAATAATGCTGAAGAATAAACCAGTCGGGATAGAAATAATAATGATCGGTTGAGTGGATATAGGTGACTGACCTTCTTCCAAAGCCCTTGACACACTTTCGGACACGTTTTCAGGCATACTGATCTTCAGGGTACGTCCAGAAACGACAGAAGCGGCATTGTCCAAGATGAGTGAATACAATTTGTTGGCCTTCTCTTGAGGATCTTTTGGTAATTCTTCGTCGGACAAAGATTTTCCTGATCTCTGCACATTCGGATTATCGCTGTTGGATTGAGAAGAAATATAATGATGTTATATAATTTGAATTGAAAGAATTCAAGTATTTTGAATTAACACTTTTTAATGGAGAAAATGACATGAATTGAATACAACTTGAAGTGGATTTTAGAATTAAGGTGTTTTAAGTAGTTGTCTGAAGAGGTGGAATTTTTTTAATAATTGTGTATAAATAACGTCAAATTATTACAAACAAAAAAACGCCATCTTTTGGAAATCTTTGCAATTAAATTTGACAATTCAATGGAAATCGTTATTTTTGTGACAGGTAAATTATATAATTTGTTATCTGAATTATATAAGTCTTTTTTGTTCGAATGCTTTGATGCTTGTAGCACGAAATTACGTTTTTTTTTTTAATTTTTCTTACCTGTTCAATGTGATTCCAGGTACAATTTCGAGGCTCGGTTGCTTCGCGATGTATTGAAGGGATTTCAATGCACGCATAGCGGCGCAATTCATCACTCCGGCGAATCCACCTTCTTCGGCGCAATTTGCGATCGTTTTGAGCTGGAAGAAAGACTGTGACAAATTAGTTATTAGTTAGATTTTTTAACTAATTATTGCTTTTTTTAAGTCCTTAAATAGTTTCAATTTGATTAAGAATTATTTTTGTTACCAAAATTTTAAATAAAAAAATTTTCACTTTTTTTAATAAAATTTGTATATTGAAAATTATAGAAAATACTTACGTCTCCGGATTCGTTGGAATCATTGGAATTAATCTCATTTTCCAATGGGATCTGAAACAATGAAAAAACAATGTAATTTGTATAAAATTGAAGTTTTCGGTGAGAAATTTAGAAAATTTAATTATTACCAAATTTCATAAGAAACTTGTGTAAAATTGAATAACAATTGTGAAATTTGTATAGAATTATATAAGATTTGAACTTTATATGAAATATTCCTAAAATTCAATATGAATTATATAGAATTTTATAATTTTGCTAAATTTCTACATTCACTTGTGTAAAATTGTATAAGAACATAAAATTATATAAAATTTTAACTTTTTGTAAAATGTAATTAGAATAATATAGACTCAATTACAAATGAATGAATGAGAAAAAAATTGACAAGTTTCTTCATTCACTTAAGGTTTTTGAGTAGTTTAATTAGAGTGTTTCGATTCTTTAATGCTTTAACAATGTTACATGCAAATCAGGTGATAAGTGTTGTAAATTTGTGTCCGTTTCTTTTGTGAATTTGTCAAATTTTGTGGGTTCTAACTGTATCATCAATTCGCATAGACTCGATTATAAACATGAAAGATCGAAGAAACTGTTTGAAAACAAACAAATAATAAAAAAAATGTACGGTAAATCATCTTCAAATCACAGTATTCATTTAAAATAAACGTTATTTTTTAAAATTTGTCTAATTTATATGAATTTTCCATCATTTTTACGACAAAAGATATTTTAAAAATAATAAGTTTTTAGTTTTAATTTGAATAATTACAATTTTTAGTTCATTTTTTTTCTACGTTATTTATAAAGATATATTAAATAATTTATGACTAAAAGTCATTACTTTGCGTAATTTTCCCATTTTACTTAAACTTTTTACAAAATATTTTAAATTATTGATTATGAAATTGGTAGGAGAATTAATTTAGATTTTTTGAAGATAATGTAATTATAATTATTTTTTTTTCGTATTTATTAGAAATTACCTATAATTTCCTAATTGAATTCATTAAAGTCTTTAATTTGTAATCTAAAAGTTTGAAAAATTTAATATAATTTAAAAAAAAAAAATCAAACAAACAAAATTTTGTCCACTTTTTGATAATTTCATTAATAATTTATTTTTATTACAGTAAAGTTATGAAATAACGTAATTTTGATAATACTAAATAATGTAGTTTATTTATAATTGAGTAATCTAAAGTTTTGTGAAATTTGACTTAAATTTGTTAATATCTCTTAATTATTAGATAATCTTTGAAGTATTTATACTTACAGCAGAGATGTGAGCTGCGAGTAAGGCGAACGCCAAGAATGAAAGTCCAAAGCTCTTCATTTTCTTTAGATTCTCTGCTCGTTACGCAATAAAAGATTCACTATCACTTTTGCGTCCTCTCCGTGGTGGATGGATGGACACGATGTTGTAAGCTGCGTCTGGATGGAACTGATTTGGACGATACAAAACAAACCAATTTTATACGCGCGCCTCGAACCCCTACTTTTGGTCTCTGATCCCAAACAAAGAAGAAGACACCTGAAAAGAGAGAAAGAGAGACCCGAAATCCAAAAGAAATGAGAAGAGGAAGAAATAAAAAGGGGAGTAGAGACGAAACGCTGTTTGTCCATATGATTAACACCCGAGTTGACCTACTCGAAAAATCGGTCGACTCACTTCTTTCTTCCTCCACTTCTCGTCCATCCCGTGTTTACACTTTTTTCTTCTTCTATTCTTTCTTTTCTTTTTCTGTTCTTCGAGGAACAAATGGTCCGGATGGTGCACCCATTTTTGTTGTTTAAAGAAAGATTTTTCTCTTTGCTTGACAAACTTGAAAGTTTTTGATCATATTACATTTCACAACTTTCCATCAATAATATACACAGAAAATAATGGTAAATTTAGTTTTTTTTTTCTTGATACAATTTACACTTTCGTATGTAAAACCACGTCAATTTTGCCTTTTAAATTCATTTAAAATTGAAGAATTGAACTTTATATGCAATATGTTAAAAAAATTTAGTATAAATGAATTTCATAGAAAATTAAACTTTCTTATTTAGTATTGAATTTAATATGAAAATTGTATAAAATCTATTAAGATTTGACCTTTATATAAATATTTATAACATTTAGTATGAAATTATCTTTATATGAATATTTGGTAAAATTGAATTTTTTATATATTTTTTTTATAAAATTAAATTACAAATGAATTTCTTGTGATAATTGAATAAGAAATGAATTTTATATGAAATTTGATTTTTTTATGAAATTTTTGTAAAATTTAATTAAAAATAAACTATATATGAAATTGGTATAAAATTGAATAAGAATTGAACAAAAATGACAAATTTATAAAATTTTATATGAAATTTATATAAATATTACAATTTTTTGTATAAAATAAAAATTAGAATTATGTTTCATACGAAAATTGAATAATAATTGAACAGTTTATAAAATATTTAATTAAAATTGAATTACATATGAAATTTAATAAAGATTGCACTTTTTTGTTTAAAAAATTTAGAAAATTTTTAGAATCAGAATTAAATTTCATAAGAAACTTGTGTAAAATTGAATAAGAATTGAATTTAATGTGAAATTTGTATAAAATTAAAACAAAGAAGTTTTTTATGAAATATTTATAAAATTTATTCAGAATTATATAGAATTAATAATTCTATAAATTTTAACTGCAAATGAATTTCATATGAAAATTGTAATTAAATTGAATAAGATTTGAACTTCAATTAAAACATTTATAAATTTTCATTTGAATTCAATTTCGTTAGAAACTTATGTAAAATTGAATAAGAATTGATTTTAATTAAAAAAAATGAAATTGAACTTCTTATATTATTTTTTTACAAAATTTTAATTTTATATAAAAACTGCATAAAATTCATTAAGAATTGAACTTTTTATGAAACATTTATAAAAACTTAATTAGAATTGAATGTTTTTACTGCAATTTTGATTCAATTATTGAAACTTATTAAAAAATATAAGAATACACAATAATTAACAATTTGAATGTAAGTAAAAACTAAGAATTTGTCTATAATAAATATACATTCTTCATACATTCATTAATAATTTGAACTGAATTCAAATATAATTAAAGAAAAATGTTAAAGTAAACAAGTTTTTCAACATTTTTACAATTAACTAGTTTATTGCATTAAAACCAGATTTTTTTATTAAATATAGAAGAAACTGAAAAGTAAAGTAAAAAAAAAGAATTAAATTTACATGTTTTTAATTGAAATTTCTAATAAAATCTAGTTTAAAGCATGTATTTTTTGTAACATATTTTAATATAAAAGAAATTTTATTAACATTTTATTGGAAATTTCTTCATTAAATATTTTCTGTTTATTAATAAGTGATTAATAAATAAATCAGATAAGTTTAAAAATAATGGATTTTAATAGAAAATTTTTAAGTATAAAAATTTTAAGAAAAATTTCATTATAAAATTTGTTATTGTTTCGTAATAGAAATTGTAATAAAGTCATTTGTAAGTGATCAGAACTGTTGATTTTATTTAGACTTTCAATGATTCAAAGTTTAGAAAAGAAAAGTAAAAGCTGTAGCAAAAAAAAAAACGTAAATTCTCGGTACAANTTTCTTTTCTTGATGCCGAAAACAAACGGACTTTTATTTTTTTAGTATGTCGAATTTGTCATTGCATTTACCGTTTCTTAAAGTATACGCATGAATATGTTTAAATATAAACATGCAAAATTTCTTGGTCGAAATTGAATTACTCAGAACATCAGGATTTTGCGTTTAATTTATTGGACATTCCTTCCTGCTTATTCTTTCAAATTAATTTCATTGTTTAATTGCCTCATGAAAAATTTATATTAAAAATTAGCATCGAGGCCGCTCCTACACCTATTTAAACAATCATGGATAAACGATTTTTTTTTGTTGAACGGATAAGAAGGAAACGAAATATGAATGTATGTCAGCTCAACACTCATTGTTTGTCCAATCCATTTGTACCGAAATTTAAATGAACTGCTTTATTTTTCTTATATATTATTTTTGAGATAAAAATAAAAAAATTTTTTTTTTGGTCCAAATTTTTGTATCTGAAAATCATGTTCAAATTAATACATAGAAATAAATGAGCAATATTTTTTTAATTGAAGCAAAAATTCAATTTTTATACTTTGTACCAAGTTTTATTATTAATACAACTGAAAATAGTTAAAAAAAAATCAATTATTTTTTTTATAATTAAAAATTGAATAAATTTTTTTTCTCGTAATTTTTAGTAAAATTTTCATGTTTTTTTTTTTTTGTGTAATTTTTCTTATAACAACATTTAGTAATAATTAAATTTTTCTATGAATTCTTGTTCTTAATTGAAATCTAGTTAAAATATTTAATTTTCCATTTTTTTCGTGTTTCTTTTATTTTTCTAATAGTAAGAGAAAGTACTTTTCTAGTATCGAATGAATTACATAATAAAAGGTTTATAGTGTTTTAGAAGTAAGGAATCTTAATATTATGAAACGGGTCAAACATTGGTATTCAAATATATTCAGGAATTTCTACGCCCACTTTTTCTTAATCTTAAACTTTGGAAAACTCATTCAATTGCATTCATATCAAAAGAAATACATTAAAAAGAAACGTTTTCTGAAATTTACTTTACCTTAGTGAAAGATTCGATGTCTTTAAATAAAATCCAATTGGAATAAATTTTTCGAAATTTTGAAGAAAAAAAAAGCAAAAACTAATTGGAAAAATCTTAATATCTCAGCTAATAATTAATGTTACGTAATGATTATTATATTTATAGTTTTTTATATTATAATTGAATGTATAATAAGTTTTAATGTTTTTAAGTTAATTTGAGAAAAATATTTAAACAAATAAAAAAAATAAATTTGCGAAAATTTTCATATTTTGTTGATATATTCGATTATTTACGAAAATCGGCATATTTTCATTAAAGTTTAGTTATTTTCGATATTTACTTTAGTGGAAGAAACGTTGTCTTTCAAACAATCCAATTGGAATGAAATTTTCGAAATTTTGAAGAAAGGAAAAAACAAAAACTAATTTGAAAAATCTTAATATCTCAGCTATTAATTAATGTTATGTAATGATTATTATATCAAAAGAAGCGCAGCAAAAAAGCGCTTCTTATAATTGAATATATAAAAAGTTTTATTGTTTTTTTTTTAGTAAATTAGAAAAAAATGTTAAAACAAATTTAAACAAATAACAAAAATATATTTGCGAAAATCGACATAATTTCTAAATATATATATTCGATTATGTTTTTATAAAAGTTTAGTCATTTTTGAAATTTACTTTACTTTAGTGAAAAAATCGTTGTCTTTAAAACAATCCAATTGGAATATATTTTTCGATATTTATAAGAAAATAAAATTAGTAAAAACAAATTTGAAAAATCTAATATCTCTGCTAATAATTGATGTTATGAAATGTATATTATATCAACACAAGCAGTCAAAAAGGTATTCTTATATTGCCACAGAATTTCTAAAAAGTTTTAATGTTTTAAAGTTATTTAGAAAAAAAATATATAAAATAATTAAACACATTTTTTTTTAAATAATAGATATATTTTGATAAATAATTGATATATTTTATATTCGATTACGTTTTCATTAAATTTTAGTTATTATTAATTGTAATATGTTCAATAATGTTATTATTTTTTAGAAAATTATAAAATAATTTTCATAATTTATAAATGTGTTTTTCATATGGAATGTATCAAATATTGATGAATCTAAATGTATAATAATTTGGTTCATCGTGTCATCCGTGTTTATTGTCACGAGAAAGAAAAAATTTAGGCTAAACAAACTGACGGCGTGCGTTCACACGAAATTTTTGCCAGAGAAAATCGGTTTCGTTTTAATATAACAATTATATATATATGTGTATACGTATGTACGTCTATATGGACGGATATATGTAAATCCTCTTACCTATTTACTTTTCAAGTTATAGCCGAAGAAACGAAAGCATTGGATGGGTGTGATGAGTGTGTTTAACGGTTGAAATACTTAAGAGAGATACAAGAAAAAAATAAATTATGTATGTATATGAAAAGATTTTCAAGAACAATATCATTATTACTTTTAGAGATATTATTGATAGACGTTTTGGAATATAAAGTTCTTAACTATTGTTGAGATTAATAGTAATTTTGTTAACAGAAATTTATAATAAAGTCAGATTAACTTTCTCAAAAAAAATTATCCGAGATTTTAGAATGGTTCATAAGCATTTAGGTAAAATACCTCGTAACTAAAGTTATTATTTATTCACCTTCTGCTTAA